GAACTGGGCTTTGGGGGTCGGGGAGTCTTCACTGTCCCCCATGTACTCTTCCGTCAACAGATCACCAAACTCAGCAGGTAACATTTAGCCCAGGAGCAGCATGGAGAGTCAGGTAAAGCATGTTTCAGGATTAGGGGGAGGGGGCAGCTCAGGATGGGCATATGAGGGCCACGCCATCGGCTGGGAATGTAAGAAGTGGTCAAATTCTGGGGTGACTCCACCCACACCCACATATACAGTTGAAACTTTGTTAATTAGGGTGGCTACCTTGGGTGAAAATCTGGGGGTTCCATGTCCTTTGGAGTGGGAACCTAGAGGCCTTACCATCTGTGTTGCTGTGCTCTGCAGAACAGCCTGCATGGTTTCTCTGTCCATCTCCTTCTCAGTGTCAGGGAAGCCCATGATCTGGGTGGTAGAGGAATAGTAGGATAGTAAGTTGAGGGTACGATACGCCTAGCTATAAATCCCTGAGAATCCCCACATACCAGATGCATTCCCTAGACTGCATCTGTGCTGGCTTCAAATTGGGTCTTGCCTTGGGGATCATCCAGCCATACTCATCATTGTTGACACCAATGATGCTGGGGACACATTGAAAATCAGCAGAGGCCAGCAGCTCCTGGGGGTGTCTGGGCAGAAAAACCCCATCCACTATGCCAGTGATGGTACTGATGGCTTAAGGGGGCATTGAAGGTCAGGGATCAAGGTCAAGTCCCAGACATTTTCTGATACCCAACGAGTTACTTCCAACTTCTTTCTAACTCATTACAGGATGACAGCCCCACCCCAAGGGATCCTACATCTGGCTTAGCAAATCTTGGTCCTTCACACGCAAGGCTGTGAGGACCCAAAGCTATGGAGGTGAGGTAATTAGTCCAGAGTGGTGGGGAAATGGCTCCCCATAAAGCTATCACCCCATTTTCCCTCATACCTGCAATCATTCAACCCAACCTTCATAATAGCCGGTATTTCCTCCTCACTCTTGCCATGCAGACAGCTCACCAGGGCCTCAAAGTCTACATGTACACAGACAGACAGGTTGACCATCATCTGTAAATTGTTTAGGCAGGAGCTGGCTTGTCTTTTCAGGCAGGAAGGCTGGAAGGCCCCAGCTGGATGAAGGTGACCCTCAAATCTGGAGATTGCTGTTGGTGTGAAATTTTTCTCATTTCCTGCTGGTCAGAGGCCTTGGCCACAGGGCCCACGCCACTTGCTTATATGGTTTGTCCACGATGGGTGCCTCAGGGTGCAGCTTTGCTGATTACAGAATGTGCTCAACCTCTGAGAGGCAGAGATATATAGACTGTCAACCTTGAGGGTCTCAGCAAGTTTTAGGAAGGCAGCAACCCCCAGGGTACCTGGACTGTCTTTGCTGTCCCCACTGATCAGACAGTGCACCTGAGGCTCTGAGGAGGAGGGGAGAGGGAGGTGGGCTGGGCTGGGGTGGTTGAAGGCACTCGCTGTGGAGACGGCCTTAGAGGAGCTGGAGATGAGGCTGGGTGTCACAACCACCCAACTCTCCATGATGACACCGTGGAATAGTCCCCAGGACATGGGGGACATGACATTGGAGGACATGCTTGTGCCACCTGCTGACTTGCCAAAAATATTGACACTGTCAGTGTTGCCTCCAAAGTAGGAGGTGATGTTCTGCTGTACTCAGCGTAGGGCAGCCACTTGGTCCAGGTAGCCCCACTTGCCAGTGGTGTGCTGATCTCCAGTGCTGAGAAGTGGCTGAGACAGGGATCAAGGCCCGTCCTGGCTCTGCTTAGTCCTATTTCCTAGCCCAGCCCCAGGATCACCTGAAAAACCCCAGGACACCCAGGCGATACTGGATCGTGATCACTACCACGTTCTCAGAAGATGCCAGAATGGATCCATCATACATGGAAGCCATGCCTACAACGAGCCCACCACCATGGATCCATACCATCACCTGGGGAAATTAAGACAGATGCCATGTAGCTCCCACTCAGCCCCAAGACTACTTGGACTATCTCCGTAGACTATCCACTGCTTTGATTCTGTGCAGCTACCACTTAAGAATTCCAATAGACTGCGTCACTTGGGCCATAGGTGAGGGATCGAAGTTCAATGAGGAAGATCAGCACACTCATATTTTAAGGTTCAACCCATGCCTCCAAGCCGGCTCCATTACCCCCAGGCCCATCAGAAATGAAAAGTTTTTCTCTAATTGTCTTACCTGAATGTTAATCAAAAGTTATCTAATCTTATTGGCACAACATATAAACCATGGTTTGAATCCTGGGTGATTTCAAAGTTCAGCCCTTAGACACCTCAGGGGGGTTTTCTGGACAGACGCTTCTGATCTCTGAGCCACTACATCTCTGTGACCCTTCTTCCCAGGGGTCAGTTGCCTGCTTTGAGTGAGAAGGCCTTCTCGGTTGCCAGAGGGAGAAGCTTCTCATCAGGATCCACACAGCAGCAGGGCCAGACTGATCATGTTCTTTTAAATTTTCTTCATCCCTTTCTATTTTTTTTTTCTTTCATTTTTGTTTTTTTGTAGTGCTTGAGGTTGAATCTACAGCCTTGTACTTGAGAGGCAAGAACTCTACTATTAGGTCACATCTCAGCTGTCTTCTAATCTTTGAGAAGAACCAGCCCACTTCACAGCTGATAAGAATCTGATGCCCACAGGCAAGCTAGAGCCTTCATGGGCATGCACAGGAGTGTAGATGTTAAGGTACAGACAGTCCTCAGACATGGGAACAGGGGGGCAGGGTCAGATTCACCTGCTTCCCCTCTGCATTCATTATATTGACATTTTTCAGACACCTGGTGACAGTGGGAGATGGTTATTCCAGGGCTGTGGAATTGTCAAAGCCAGATATACCAGATTTGCACCCAGCCACCCACATCCCTGTTGTCCCTGATGCCTTGCTCACGCATGACCTTTCTCTCTAATCCCTGACCATCAAGGCACCAGCCTCAGGTGCTGGGGAAGCTGAGAAGACTTTGGACTTTGCCATACAGCAAAGTCCAAGGTTGTCAAGGGCTTAGGATCCTACTCTTCCTGAGGCTGGGAAATTGTCACTCTTGGACCTCTGTGTGACCCATAACTTGCATGCACTAATATTGAATTGTCTAGTACCATTCTTGTACCTGTCTAGTGTAGGAAAAAGGGAAGAGCCTCCACACCCACACAAGTGCTTGATGGAGGTAAATTCCCATAGAAGAGTAGTGGAATGTTTTTCATCCCAAGACTAGACTGTCAGAGAAACTCATCAATCCCATACAGTCTCCAGTTGTAAGACCATACACTTGTTCCTTGGCAAAGACACCTGGCCCTGTCAAATTTCACAGTGATTATAGAGGGTAGGGATCCCTAGAAGCAACACTGTTCACCTCCAAATATATAGTATCAGCTGCTGGAGCCAGGGGCTTATCCAAGATTCACAGAGCCAAAAGAACCTCATCCAGAAACATCTCCCCTAGTAGCAGAATACACTTGGCACAACATACAGCTAGGGACATATGGGTCTCTGCCTCCATCTTCAGCACCTAGAGCTAATGCATTCAGGCTCCCAAGCTCTGAGTAAAGGGCCTGCCAAAATTCTTTCATTCTCTGGGGCCTCAGCGTGCTTACTGTGGGAATCCCCCAATCAGAGGGAAACAGGCTGTGGGGTTTAGATGAAAGAAACACTGGACCCTGGCCCAAAGCTCAGAGCACCTGAACCCATCCCAGTGTCTGAACTTCCCCAGCTCCCCAGAAAGCTTACATGGCAGTGTAGGAAGTCCCATCTCTCACACCACTCCAAGGCTCTGGGGCCTCAAGGAGTGCAAACCGCGGTGGTCCTACAGGTGGTTTGGCAAAGGGAATTCCCAGAAAGGTATGGGCGCCCATATATGTGCTCTTCACACAGATGAGGCTGCCCCTTACCTTCCCTGTGAGTATGGTCTGAATGGGGCTGGCAGAGTCCTGGGCTGTGGGCAGAGAGATGCACATCAGGGTTGGGTCTGCCTAGTCAGCTGCCTCCCACATTGAAGGTATTGGTACCTCCTTGTCATCAAGCTTGTCAAATGACCGTAACCTGCAAACCCTGATGTCATGGCTGTCATACTTTCTCTTAGAGCTGCCACTGCTATTACTGAGGCTGTCCCAAGCCTATTCTCCTAGGCCCACTCAGACTCCTTGGGCATTGGTGAATGAGGGAAAGAATGTCCTTGGCACCAACCTTGCCAGATGCTGTGAGGTGCTGGGAGGATGCTGGGAATGGACTGAAAGGTCTCCCATGCTCAGGGATTTGACAAGAGGTAGAGTGACACATAGAAATCATCCTAAGGGCAGTGAGTGACGTGGTGAGGAGAGATATGAGAGAGACGTGCAGCTGAGACCCAACCATACATCTGGCCTTGCCTCTGGCTAGAGTCGGTTGGCAAGGCAGGAAACAGTTGATTGTCACCTAATAGTCCAGATAAAATTAATTTGTCCAAGTCCTGCGTACTGTTGAAAGAGGATGATGGGCTCATTGCGCTTGTTTCCTTTCCTCTCTGTCTCAGATGAGGCCTGCTCCAGGGTGCTGTGCACCCCTCAGTCAGTCCTGACCATCTCTGTGCCTTAGGCTGCAAGGAGGTGTTCAGTCAGGCCCATGGCTTCCCTTCTACCAGCTAGGACCTCCCTTGTACCTCCGTCCTGCTGTCTGAGGTTCTTCCTGTGTGGAGTGTGGCAGATCTGGGCCAGATTCCGTAAGAAAAAGTGAAATGGCCCCTAACATCCTGGAGAGCTAGTGCTCCCATCCTCCACCAGGTCCACATGGATCAGCATGTCTGAGGACACCTGGTGCAGGTGAGGCCAGGGCAGCAGCCACTCCCAGGCCCCAGACAGGGCAACCCAGCAACATCTTTCCATGCTCAAATGTGCATCCTCTGCCTGCTCACATGCTCCCCACACAGATGCCTCGGCAGCTGGCACCTCATCCATGTAATTCACTGTGACTATCAGACACTGATGCCTGGTGCTTGTTACATCATAGGACCCAGCCTGCTGCAGTGAGCCTGCTGGGAGGCTGGGTACATCTGCAAACCTTGAAGAGGAAACTCTGTCATATAGTGGTGTGAAGTGTGCCCATGTCACGAGGGAGAAAGTCCAGGATCAGAAATTGCTGAGTTTGTGAAAACTACGGGTCAGTGCACCATCTATTCTTGGGTACAGTCCTTGGCACAGCATGTAAGATCCTGTTACTTAGACAGTCCCTGTGGAGAGGCCAAGTATAGGTGGACAGAAGATGAAGGGTCAGAGATGTGTAAACATCATATCTTCTCCTTGGTGTAGGAACCTGAAAGACTAGGTAAAACTCAAAACGTACAATAGATGATAGGAAAGGGAAAGAAATTGCTCAAAAGAAGGAATGACTGGGATGAGGGAAAGAAGAAAAAAGAAAGAAGGAAGGCAAACTATAAATATATCTATGAATAGCAGTGATAACTATTGCTGATGTCTGATGGTGTATTGAAATGAACAGATAATGCTTACAATTTTTATGTCCTGATCGATTTTACATGCTTGTGTCTGGTGATCTGAGCAACTGATTTGAAGGTAACAACATGCAATGGAATTACAGTGGTGAATTCCTACCATCTTGTCTAGTGAAACTCTGTATTATCTCTAATGTTTAATCTAATAATTATTTTCTTATTCTCTTTAATGGTTTGAGCAATCTTCCATTCTTATATCTGGTAATCTGAGCAATGTAGCTGAGGATAGGGATATGTAATATAACAACCATTGTTAATTCATATTATTTTGTCTTGAAACCCTATATCACTTTAAATGTTCTTGCTTTGATTTGTTTATGTTTGTGATACTGGTATGCTGCTACTGTCCGATTTTTGTTTGTTTGTTTCTCATTTACTACTCTTTCTAAAATGAAAATTAAAAAAAAAAAGAAGAGGAAGTGTCAAAGTTCTGCCCTGTGATGGCTCTCTTGTGATCCTGAATATAAGTACAAGCCAAAAACTGCTTATGCACAAGCCATGAATAATGATGTCCTAGAGAGCCTGGTCAGGAGCAGGTAAGAAAGGAAGCCTGGCAGTGTGGGTGGAGTAGGCTGGATTGCAGAAAGGTATGAGAACGTTTGAAGCCACAGGTTGGAGATGGAACCCAAACCTGCTTTTTTAAATTTTTTGATACTGGAAATTGAACTCAGGACCTTGCACTTGCCATGCAGGTGCTTGTGCTGCTGAGCTTAATACTCAGCTCCAAGTGTGAGAACTTTTGGGGTCCCACACTAGGAGTTCTGGGGAAGAGGGTCAAAGGGTGCAGACACACACTGCATTCGGAACCCTCCAGGCATCAGCTCCTGATAAGGCCTGGAAAGAGCCTGGCAGGCACAGAGCGTCTTCACTGTGCTCTGTAAGCCAAACCATTCCTTTGCCCTTGAGGGACAAGGAGCACCCCATGTGGTCTTTCCGTTTAGCTTTCAGATGAGGTACCCAGAGGTTTCTGTATCCCCCAGAGCCATTAACTTTGCCTGGGATATGTTTGGAGGGTGACCGGGGCTTCTCTGGCAATTTTGTCACCCTCCAAGGTAAATGGCAGCATTAAGTTCTTACTGCTGTTGCTATACCTGATGGCCAGAAGCAGCTCTCCACAGCCACACACACAAGAGGAAAATGTCTGCAATCCCAGCTCCTCTGCCAGGAAGTTTCTGACCTCACTCTGCACATCCTCCTCAGTGTTGGGTCCCTGGCAGACCCGACCCTCTCCGTGCTTTGGAGGCCAAACTTGAGCTCTGGCTTAGTGGCACTGAGCGGGCCCATGTTTCCCACTGTCATCTGCCCACCACTACTCCCTCAAAGAGGGTCCCCTGCCCTCTGTGACCTTCTCCTTCCACTTCCACAGCCTGAAGTTCTGCCTCTGCATGATTTGGCAGAAGTAACCCTGGATTCTGTAGGAATCTCACCATGGCAACATGAAGAGCAGCAGAAGCCCAAGGTCACTGTGATGAGTTGAGGAAGAAGGAGATTCGACTGCATTTTGGAAGTCACAGAACACTTTTTGAGCTGCAGCAAGTTTCACTGACAGAAAGCTGAAGATAGGATCTCACTCAGGCTTGTGTTTCAATCAGCAAGGAGTAGGAGGGGCACCAGGTGGGTAGGGTTAGTGCATGTGGCAGGACAGTGTCACTGTGTCAGCAGGAGCATGCTGTGCCAGTCCCGCCTGACTTCTGGAGGAAGTGATACAGAATCTCAGGCAGCCTCTAGCTCCCACTGACTGCCAGCCTTGGCCTCTTCCTGCAGCCCCAACAAGCTCAGGCTGCCACAGCCCTGCATCTTAATCATCCGTCGCATTTTGCAGCAGCGACCATATTCAGTGACACTTGGAACAGCTGGGCTTTTGGATCTCCACCCAATCAGCAAGGCCTGTGGTTGATTCACTGTCTCCCATCCAATTCCTTTTGTCCCAGACCCTGCTTGGGCAGATACTCTCTGTGCCCTTCCTTAGGACAATTTTACAGCTGGGCTTTGGGAGCTGAGAGATTCCCGGCTCAGAGTTGTGCTATAAGCTCACTGTTAACAGGACAGCACTGTGCTTCTTCCTAATTGAGGCTGCTGTCCACCGTGGTTAGGATGTAGATCCCCGCTTACTCTGCCACTACTGCATCATTTCACTGAAACCCTGACAATGATGATGGTCATGATAACAGGAAAACTGTTGATGAGTGAAGAAGGATCCCAGGAGTAATTCTGTGTGTTTAACAAGGGCTGTTTTGAAAATTTCCATATATGCAATGATCCAGAAAAAGAGGCAGACAGGGAGAAAGCGCCAAACTGAGAAAGCGCCAAGAAGCGGCTGAAAATCCAGGGAAACACCAGCAATGAGATACCACTGGACATTAATTCAACAAAATCAGCTTTCAGACTCATAGATACAAGGGCTGATGTGGAGCAACTGACACTCCCATGTATGGCTGGTGGGGAAGCAAAATGATGGAGTCATTTTGGAAGGCAGGTATCTTTTTGAGGGATAAACATACAGTTGACACATGACTGAGCAATTCCATTGTCAGGTCTTCTTGACCCCATGGAAGTGAGGGCATGCACCTCATCTGAAAGTGTTCAGAGCAGCTTTATTAAAAACAGCCAAACACGGAAGTCACTCAGACGTGCATCGCCTGGGGAGTGGACCTGTGCGGTGTCTCCCTACACATTATGCGGCCCCACAACAGAAGGGACAAAGTTCCGCCTGAATCTCAAAACTATGCTAAGTGTCAAAGCCAGTCACAAAGGACTGCTTTTTATGTGGTATTGGAGAAAGAGCAAAGAATAGCAACAGAAAGCAGCTAGGAGGTTGCCAGGGACCGGAATGGAAGGCAGTGATGACTGTACAGGGGGGCGAGGAGAGCTTTTGCAGGGAAGAAACATTTTGAACGTGATATGGTAGAGCTGGATGTCTCATACATTTACTCAAATTCCCCAAACTATGCCATTAATACAGGTGAGCTTAACTGTATAATTATTTCACAGTAAAACTTGAAGGAATAACTAGTAAAATCTAAGCAATACACAGGGAACCACTTTGGGGGGTGCCCTGTGCACCCGCAGAACTATACAGAGGCATATTTGCAGCAGGAGTTCAATAAAGACGTCAGGGCACAGTGGAAATAATACGAGCCAGTCAGGGCACACTGAAAGGAACGGCTCTACCCTCTTGCAAGAGCCTCAGAGCAGGCTTAATATTGTCCTTGTCTGCCCCCTGGACTCCAAAGTGGGTAATGCAGGCATCTTTTTTGGAGGGGATTCAATGACTGTATTTGATATAATTCAATAAGCTGGCTTTTCTTTTTTATACTTTTCTCTAGAAAGATTCTAGATTCACTTATGTCTTGGCTAATTTTCTCTCATTGGTTAGACAAAATACCTGATGCCCAAAATTAAGGAAGGAATTTAGTTCACAGTTTGTGGAGGTTTCAGTCCATACTTGGCTGGCTCCAAGGCAGGGCGGCACATGGTAGAGGGCAACAGTTCATGGCAGGGGGTGGGGGCAGGGGAAGATAGCAAAAGCAGCAAGAACAAAAGGGAGGAGTGGCAGCTGGAAGAGCAAGCCTCTTTCCCTCCCTTACACTGTATGCAAACCACCTGCCCCAGGGCAAGTGTAGCACTCCTGTCCATAATTCCAACATTGGACCATGAATCAATCACAACTCTAGAAGCCTTCCCCATGACTGCATGAAGCTTTGGGGAGGACACCCAGACACAAACCATAACAACTTATAAATCTACTCTTTGTGTGATATTTAAAAAAAATTTAATTAAATTTATTGGTACAATTTAGGTATATATAATGATGGCATTCATCATAGGGAATTTGTACCTGTACATGATATACCTTGCTTCTTTTTTCCCATTCCCCTCCGCTTCCTTCAACCCCTCTTGCTTACTTACAAAGCTTTGCTTCTATTTTATCTTTCTTTTCTCATTTTTCTTTGCCCTTCCTTCCTTTCCCCTCCCCCTCCTTAGTTCCCCTTTCCTTTTGAACAATTTCTTCCTATTTCATCATATCTCTTGCACATGGTTCTTATTTACACTTTCAATTTCTCACATCAGTGAGACAGTGTGATATTTACACATGTGTGTCCAATTTATTTCACTTAAGAGTATGGTCTCAAGGTCCATCCATTTAGCAAGAAATGTCTTAAGTTTATACTTCTTTATGGCAGAGTAGTACTCCATTATATTAAAAAACTACATTGTTTTTATCCATTCATTGGTCGATAGGCATTTGACTTGTTTCTAGGATTTAGCTATTACAAACTGTGCAGCTATAAACATAGATGCACATATATTGCTGTGCTATAATGCTTTTAATTTTTTTGGAAGATACCAAGAAGGGGAATAGCTGGGTCAAATGGAAACTTTAGTCCTAGTTTTTGAGGAATCTCCACACTGTTTCTTTTTTTTTTTTTTTTTTTTTGGTTTTTTGGTTTTTCTCCGGTACCGGGAACCTAACTCACGAGCTTGCACTTGCCAGGCAGACGCTTTTGCCGCTGAGCTAAATCCCCAGCGGAATCTCCACACTGATTTCCACAGTGGTTGCACCAGTCTACACTCTCACCAACAGTAGAGAAGTGTTCCCTTTTCCACATGGTCATCTTTATTTTTAAACCAAATTCAGAATACCCTGTGTTTAAGTTTAAGTGCAATGACTGAAGGGGAAGGGGACTTTCTCCTTGGGAAAACTGTTCCCCAGAAAGGGCCAGTGGTTCACAGGTAGGGGAATTGTAAGTGTATGTGGGGGGTCACAGGGCTGAGACAGGGGTAAAGCCTTTTAACGAGACACAGAAAATACTTTGGGTGAACAAATAGGCAGATTGATCACAGTGCGGAACTTTTGTACAAGGAGACAAGAATACATAACAGGTTTTTATTAGGAAAGCTAAGAAAATTTAGGGACAACAATGAGTTAAGGAGGAAAATTAATCACATGATGACAAAGAAGGGTAGGAGAATATACTCTGGTTTCTCTTCAGATTGCATAAATCTTTTGCTTTTTACTAAAGAAAGGTAGAGCTCATCAGGGAGTTGGGAGATTGCAAGGGGAATTGTGAAATGCAAGAAGGCACCTCTTTGGAATAAAGACTCTGGGAGACAGGGGACAGGACTCTCTTCTGCCAGACACACGAGATCTTCTAAACCCCAATCCCACTTCTAAGAACTATTGCACAGACCAACCTCTTGCAGATCCACAGTGATCATGCAGTGTGGCTCTCACAGTGGTCAGACTGAACGAAAATGAGAGCAATCTTGAGCACAAAGGGTACTGAGGATCTGCCTGTCTTTCTTGGACAGCCCCAGCTTGGCAGGCAACGTCTTTGTCCAGAATTTCATCCTATGGGCCTTTAGGGCACTGTCCATAGAAAGATGGGTGTCCAGTTGCAGATACTTCTTTTCATGGTCCAATGCAGGCCACGGATGCAGGTCCTCACCATTGGGGTTCCTGTGAACACACCCTCCCAGTAGGGGGCGAGGTCAGGCATACTTGCACAGCTCAGATCTCAGTGCCCTGATTTGGCTCAAGCCAGATAGTCAAGAGGCACAGGGACCACTGATGATGATGAGTCCAGATATAGGAAATCAAGGACCTTCTTCTAGCATCCCTTTCGTGTGAGCAGGTCACCTGGGCCTGTTTCCTTCCTCCTGCAGAGGCAGGCTGTGACTGAACCACAGCATGTGCCCCACCCCCCGGTCAGAGAGAAAGGGACGAATGACTTGTACTGACAAGACCCCTCGCTATGTCCATATGAGTGCTGGTGTTGGGAGGCTGTTATCATGTGGTTAAAGATACATGTATGCTAATGAGGTCACCACAGACAGGAGGAGAACCTGATAGCTTCAGTCCCCTGGGGAAGTCAAGAGAGGGGTTTGTCTCACCCATTCTGAGGAAAGTTGGCCCAATACTTCATTATCCTCCTGCTCAGCAGCTCCTCCTCCTCAGTGAAGAAAACTGCAGAGAGGAAGAGGACAAGGGGCCAGGTCCTTGCTGACCCTCACTCTGTTTTCCTTCTTGCACCACACTCACCACCCAGCTGCAGCCTGACCCTGCACCCCAGGCCTGGTCCCCTTCTCCCCTGCATACCCTGGAGCCAGACCCTCCCATTGCCCAGCCTGTCCTTCCTTATCCCAGTCTCCAGCTGAACTGGTCCTGGAATCATTCCTGTCCCAGAAGTCCACTTCTTTCTGAAACTGGAAAGTCATTCAAATATCCCTGTGAGGTACCACCACATCTGCACAACCTTGCCCAGTCCCACAGTCAGGGTGAGGAGAGTTGGAGGAAAGAGCACAGGTCAGAGCAGGAGGTCTTGGATTCTAGTACCCACGTAAGCTTTTGAGCTCTAAGATTGGGGACACTGAATCTATTCCCTCTCTGAGCCTCAGCTTTCTCAGCAGGACAGTGAAGGCAGTCATTCTTTGGGGACCCAGCCAGATGTCCACCTCTGTTCATGGAATTCAGGGAATACTCACTTTGGTTGTGCCAGAAGAAAATTCCAAAGACAAATGAACCTCATCTCCATGATTTGCCTTCACATAGTGTGGCCTGATGTTTTTGAGGAAGTTGGGAGGGTGCTGGAACTCATAGGCATAGACAGGGCTATGGGAGCCTGGGGACATGCATAGGTGTTCACTTATGGCCTGTTACCTGGAGCTCTCCTGCCTCATCCTTAGTGACAAGATACCTAGGTCCAAAGCTGGCTGGAATCTGCACAGTTGTGTGGGGAGCCCAGGGCTGGAGCAGAAGCAGTGAGAAGGGCCTTGGATAAGTCATGGCCGTGGACTTCCAGCAGAGCAGTTTGGGCAGGGTGCTGGGTGTCACTCTCAACTTCCTCACCTGTACAGTGAGGGAGATGTCCGTCCTTTACACTAGCTGTCAGGATTTTATTTTATTAGTGTGTAAGCATCCTATAGACTAGTGGGTTTCATTTTGGCACCGTCACACATACACAAAACATACATACTTCCTTCCAATTACCTCCCTCAAGATTTCCTTCCCAGTTCCCTGATTCCCTTCCTCTTTCCTTCTATTCTCTCTTCTACTTTCAGGTCATCTCTTTTCTTTCTTTTAAGAAATCTTTCTTTCCTTCCTTCTCCTTCTCCACCCTCTTCCCCTTCTCTCCCCTCCCCTCCCCTCCTCTTCCTCCTTCTCCTTCTCCTTTTCCTCCTCTTGTTCCTCCTTCTCTTTCTTGTCCTTTTTGAGACAGGATCTCGCCATGTAGTTCAGGTTGGCCTTAACTCCCTACGTAGCCCGGGCTGATGAGGATCTCGAGGCGATCCTTTTGTCCCAGCCTCCCACACACTTGGGTTACAGGCTTGAGCTACCATGCCTGGTGTTGTTTTTATCTCCCTCCTCCTCATATGAGAGGAAACATGTGACATTTGACTTTCTGAGTCTGTCTTATTAACATAATAATAATCTCTAATTCTATATATTTTCATGCAAATAAGCTGAATTCATTTCAGGTTTTGGCTGAATAATAGTCTATTGTGTATATCTGCCATACTTTATCCACTGTCTGTGGATGGGTACTTATGCTGTTTCCAGAGCATACTATTGTGAAATCCACTGTGATGGACATGGGCATGCTGCTATCTCTACAGTATGTGGTGTAT